CTGCCGCTACTGCTGCTACTACTACTGCTACTACTACTACTACTACTACTACTACTACTACTACTACTACTACGCTGCCGCCGCTCTTCCTGCTGCTGCCCATACTGCTGCTGCCACCGTCGGTGCGATAGCCACATACATGTCAGACCATCGACGACTCGGGCCCTTCTGGGGCGGCGGACTCGGTCGCTGAGCTGAAGACTCACAGACACATGCTGCCGCCACAGTCAAGCCGAGGTGGGCGGCGTAGCTGCAGAATGAACATAACAAAATAACATAGCATAACGTAACATAACATAGCACGACAAAAGAAGCAACATTATTTTAAAAAATGCAAAACCTGGTAGAATACAACAGGCTAGAACAGAAAAAACAACTAGAAGAGGAGAAGGAAAGCTATGAGACTATAAAACAACAGCAGTTGAAATAACCTCAACACAACAAAAATACTTTGCAGCATCGACGACATAAACGAAATAGTGGAACTCAGCAAAACCGAATTCAAGACGATGCAATCAGAGAAGATGATGCTCTTCTCAGTGAATGCCGCCTTCCCTGTGTAGACGAGACCACGGATCAGCGACTGGCAGATCCTTTGGATTGGCTCCCACAGTCCCACAGTCTCGGGCGCATGGTTAGCTTAAGATTTAGGGTTTGGAGTTAGGTTCTGGGTCAAGTGTTGAACCCAATCAAAGCCTTGCACCCACAGCCTCATGTAAACCCCCGCCCCAGAAACCAAGGGAAAAACCAAACCTTCAACTCCCAGCCGCACACCCTTAACCTTGCAACTGCAGGGCATGAGGACTTGTTGGGCTGCGGCTTGCGGAGCTCTTGGAAAGTTGTGAGTTCAGGGGGACAGCCGGCATAGTATGGATGCAATGAGGAAGGTGCCTTAACCCCGACAAGCACTGTCTTGATGAGCCCCAGATCGATCACAAACTCTCTCTCTGTCTCTCTCTCTCTCTCTCTCCCTCCCTTGAAACGCGCGAGAGAGGAAACAGTTCCCTGGAACGTCCCTGTCTGCAGCTTGCAGCGGCTTCTTGTCTGCAGATAGGCGGTCCTGCCGCGGCGGCATCCTAAAAAGTCCAGTGCCCTGAATCCTGCCATCCAAAACCCGCAACCCAGTGTGAGCCTCAAACCTCAAACCGAGACCAAAACCCTGACGTGCTCACATTCAAAGGCATTCTGCTGCAGGAAGCTAGACACAGGCGCCTTCCCCGCGACTACGTGTCAGTTCAGGCCTTCGGAAGTGTTCAGGGTTTGGGTTCTCGGGTTTCGAATCTGAGAAGCCTCGAGCTGAAAGGCTGGATTCCTGTTATGACTATCTCCATCTATCTACATCTATCTATCTCTCTATCTATCTACCTAACCCACGTACATATATATATATATCTCTCTCTCTCTCTCTCTATCTACCTACCTACCTACCTACCCACCTACCTGTCTATCCTTCTCTCTCTGTCACTCCACCTATCTACCTATCTACCTATCTGCCTATCTACCTATCTACCTGCCCACCTACCAATCCACCTATCGACCCATCCACCGATCTATCTATCTATCTATCTATCTATCTATCTACCTACCTAAATAGAGAGATACATCGATAGATAGATAGATAGATAGATAGATAGATGGATGGATGGATAGATAGATAGATAGATAGCCGTAACCCCTCGATTGAACCACTGCATCGAGTGCGTTCAAGCCTTGTGTGTTTTCAAGTAGAAGCGAGCTCCACGGTCGTAGGCCTTGCAGGTGATGCAGGCCTGCAGAGGGCTTGCGAATAGCGTCCATGGGGTTTGGGAGAGACCAGGGTTTCGGAACCTGGGATTTGCGGCAATGACGTGATTCTGGGATTTGGCATTTGGAATTCGAACCCCAACCCGCCCTAACCTTTCAAGAGTCTAGGTTTGGGGGGTAGTTTGGGTAACTATATTGGTTTTGCGGGCCTTGTCCTTTCACGTAACCCAGGCGCGGGATCTATAAGGAACCGAGCCCGGGAGGTTCCGGATTTGTGGGTGTCGGGCTCCGGAGCTCAGGATTTAGGATTTAGGGAACATGACTGGTTGAGGTTTGCGAGGCTTCAAGGGCCTCGCCTCAAATCCATTGCAAGGCTGGGAGGTCTTCGGGTCTGAAGCTCTTGCAAGATAAATGGAACAGAAAGCTTCAAGCATGCGGCTGAAGGCTGTCAGGGTTGAGGTGTGTAGGGCTCTTCGGGCGTTTTGATGTTGAGGGTTTGAGGGTTGACGGTTGAGCGTTTCGGGTTTTGGGGTTGAGGGCTTCAGGGTTTAGACCCTCAAAAGGAATAACCTACATCTGCCTCTATGAAACGACGGCCCCAAGCCTCAAAGAACACAAATAACTACCTGTGCAGAAACTCTTCAGCGTCGAGGAGGATATATCCGACTTGGATGACAGGGGGCAGTGACGGCCGGAATATGTTCTCCAACCCAGTTGGTTTTTGGGCCGTGTCGTGTCAGAGCTTGTTCGGGGACAGGGTGAACTGACAAGTCGGGCTACAAGTAATGTAGCGGCCTTAATAATTAGAATAGGGTTTCGGGGTATAATATACTATAATTAAAAAGAAGGAACCCCCAAAGCAGTATAGGCAATGATGTAGGCCCCTATACTAGTCTTAGTTATAGCTACCCCGGCCCTTCACCTGCTTTCTACGCCATTCTACGCCGACTTTACTCAGTCTCCTCTCAGAAGGAAGGTCTGGAACCTTTCTTGGGACCCTTCACACGAGCCATCATCGCGCGCCTTATAGTATCATCTAGAATAGTCTAACATAACCTAATCTAATCTAGTCTTATATAGTATAACATAACGGAATAGAATATACTACAATAATATACTACAATCCCTCAACGACCTCTCGGGCAACCCTTTCTGGCCACTGTTACGATAAACCCTACCCCTCCTGGAGCAGAGCTGTTTGGAGCTGGGCATTCAAGCGGAAGCGAAAGCGGGAAGAGGCATGCTCGCAGACCCTCAAGGCGGGCGGAGAGTTGAAAATAGGGGCCTTAGTCATTGGCATTAGTCTAGGGTTTCGGGGTATGTTGGACGATACTTCTATAAGGACTACAAGGCATTTCGGCTTCGACGTTTTGTTGAGAACCTACAACTCAAGATGCAGCTTAGGGTTCACGGTCAGATTCGAGAGACAATCTGGTTTTGCATGGGCCCGGAGCGCAGGTACGAAGGCCTGAACCATCGAATGCACCATAAACCGAAAGCCCCTAAACCCTAAAGTACCACGGCGACCGTGAACCAAAGCCCCATCCCTGATGTCCCAGGGTTTCTGGAAGGCTTCCGCGAGGCCCAAACTCGCCTGCAACCTTCGAACCCAACCCCTCAGACGAAGGGGGTTGAGAGTTTGGATCCTCTTCATGACATTTAGGGATTAGGGTTTAGGGTTTAGGATTTAGCGTCTGGGGATTGGGGCTTAGGGTGTAGGGTTTCGGGTTGAAGGCTGCTTCTGTGCCCAAACCTTTCCCCCCTACTGGAAGCCCTAAAACGTCCGAAAAAAAGCCATAAAAGCTCGGTTCCCCTTCCCTTAAACAACACACAAGATGAAACCAAGCTGAGGGACTTGAAGGCACGATCCAACCTCTTGGCACCAGCCAGGATCCTAGGTAGCAGGTCCAAGTGCAGGGGCTTTGGGTTCGAAGGCCGGGGTTTCATCAGAGTTCAACAAGGGTTCTATAATTCTATAAGGTGTGAGGCATCTGGGTCCAGGGTTACAGGATTAGTTAGGGTGTTAGGGTTTTGGGCTCAGGGTTAAATTTAAGGCTTCACGATACAGGGAGAGTTTGGGATAGGGTATATGGCTTAGGATCCATGGCTTCGTTTCGGCGGGTTTAGGAGTTGGCACATCATGGCCTAGAAGACGTTGGGGTTTGGGGCTGGGGTTCGGCGTAATCGTAGGGCTGACAGGTTAAAGCTTCTTGGTCCCCTCAATTTAGGGGACGGGGTTTGCGTTAAGGGGGAGTTGTAGGGATTTGTCGGGTAAGCTTCTGCGCGAAGCTGATACTTACCAGGCGTTCGAGGTTGGGGTATGCTTGGGGCCTAGTGTTGAGACAGTGGGCTCTACACACTAAGGTCTTGGTCAACGATGCTCTGGGCGATCCACTTTAAGCGAAAGGTTTTGTGCATAAGCTACTTCGGGGTGGAGCATTAGCTGGCCCCAAAACGCAAACTACACCCTGAACCCTGAACCCGAAACCCCAGACCCACAGGCCAAAATCCTGAACACAACACCCAGGCCCTACGCCCCAAACCCTAAATCCCCGAAACCCTAGCCCGAAACCTACAGCCGCCAGATGCACCCTCAAACAACAATCAACCAGGGAAAACAAGAGATAGCTCCAGGTGTTTCTACTGTTTTCCTTGCCCCAGGCGCTTCACCAGCGAGCTCAGGGTGTAGACGCTGGGAGCCAATCCCTGATCCATCATGGTCTCCACCAGGTTCTCCCCTCAAGAGGTTTCGGGTTTAGCTGATAAGGTTCTACAATTTAGGGTTTAGAGTTTAGGGTAAGACGTCGAGGTCTCGGCTAAAGAATTCGTCGGTTGATGTTGAACCTCCCCGCTGCGGAATACGTAACCGTCCTGACACACTAGGGCTTTAGGGAGTTACTTCCCTAAAACCCAGACACCCCTTCGGTAAAGCCCCAGAAAACTAATCTCAACGGAACCTGTGCTTTCATCCATTCAGCCCTACCTACAACGTGACCTCCCTCGAAGCCTAAACCGAAATTCCTGGAAATCCTATCGAACCTAGCCACCTCTATAAAGGAGTCAAGGTGCCTTCATCGGCCAGGCCAGCTTGTAAACAGCCGTCAAGGAGGGTGTTGTACCTTGGGGTGTAAGACTGTTCTTGGTAGTGCTTAGGGCTTATAGGGCTTCGAGGTAACAAGCATGTTTTGCGTTTCAGCGTTTGCGGGGCGCTTGGGGCAGAGCGGGCTTGGGATATCTACCGTGCCAACTTTTGCTTGAAGGTCTGGGCCTGACTCTCAGTCCTAAAGTCCGAGGACTTTAGGACTGAACTTCAAATTCTTGAATCGAACATGCGGGATGCAGCGCAAACCCTACAGCACCAGAGTCCTAAAACCCAACACCCTAAGTCTCTACCTTACCCTAAGCCTCTCAGGAGCCCTTGCAGCAATCCCTCTTCACCCGAAACCCTAAACCCTCGAATTCACCCTCATACGGACTTTCAAACCTAGTCTGCGCCAGGGAACACGACCTCGTCGGGAGCCTCCGAGCCGGAGCGGAGGTCCCGAAAGACCTGCAGAAAGTGTGCTCTCGCAGTGAGCAGGGTTTATGGTAAACTCCAAAAAGTTGGAAACCGGATTAAAGACAAATAGTGCTGGGAGTCTCGTATACATTACTCTTAGGGATTGAGGCTATTGCGTGTCCAACTTTTGGGCTTCTACAGTAGGATTTAGGGCTTATAAGGTCGAGGCTTTAGGATGCCTTGTTTCCTTCCGCTGGAGCCTAAACCCCGAATCCCAAAACCGACACCCTAAACGCTAGAACCCACAAGCCCTACTAAATTAAACCCTCACAAAAACTCCGTAGACCAAAAAAACCTTTAACGAACCCCTGCTTCCTAAAAAACCCTAAATGTCAAGAACACCTAAACCGGTCCTCTTGGCTTTGGGTTTAAGGGTTTAGGGACTCAGAGTTTAACGCCTTGGGTCAAAGAGGGCTCTGGGGTTAACCATCGCAACTTGGTCTATGATCCACCTGCTAACTTCTGACATCGGCTTGAAATAGGTTGAGCCGTGAGCTTCAAGCTTTTCAGGTCCAGCAAACCGGAGGTTATTTGAGCGCTCGCTTCCTGAAGATCTATAGGTGAACCCTTTCGAGTCAACCTTTGAAGAAAGGGACTGAAGGGGCGGTCTATGCGTGCCACTCAATCAAAAAGCGGACAAGGCAGGAGATTGTCTTGCGCAGAACAATCAGAACAGCCCGAAAAACCCACTTGTTGAACCCTGAACCCCTTAGAGCTTGAACTCAACATAGATACCCGAAAGCCTTAAACTCAACAATCCGAAAAGGACGGCGAAGCCGACCTCAAAGGCACTTTGCATGTCTCCAGCGGCGCAGTAGCCCTCGTTACGAGAGCATCACTGCTGAAACTAGAGCTTTGAGCTTAGGGTTGCGCGATTTCGGGCTTGGGGGCTTACAGGCTTAAGGTCTAGGGATGTTCCGCTGCCTCTTAAGGTTTATGCTGCCGCCTGTCATTCGTGGATGCCACCTTAACTGAGGCCACAAAGGCCATACGTCTCACTTTGTGGGTCGCAGGTTTGAGGGCTCCAGAGGCTGCTTTGATGCAGGGTTTAGGGCTTACGGGTTGCGGTTTCGGGTTTAGGGGTTTACGGGTTGTTAGGCTTTAAGGTTTAGGGCTTGGGGCTTATGTTGTATCAACAGACTGCAAGACAGGATCTAGTCTCTGGGGCAAGCTTCCTGAAGATGTCGAATACAGTTTAGTAATTCAAGGACAAGGGTTCGGTTGATCACAGACATGACAGTCTTTCTGCTACCCATAGATTGCAGCCTGGCACCCGGCTCTCAGCTACTGCCTGTGCTTACTTGCGGCTGGAGGCAGCTACGGTTCAGGGCTCATTCATGGCAAGCTCGTTGTAGGCGCCTACAATCAGACGCATACCTAGCCGAAGCTCCCCAACCCCTAAACCCGAAGCACCAAACCTCATTTAACTCCAAGCTCCAGATCTGAAACCGAAGCTCTCTCGACGCCGGGACCCACATTCTCCACCCCAGGCCTTGATCAACGTGCTGTATGTGATGAGGTTCGGCTTGAAGCCATACTGCTGCATGGTGGTGAGTAAGCCACCAATCTGGCACAGTGGTCCCTATTGCAACGAAACCCTAAATTGGGCCCTGACACGAGGACTGTAAAGGGATACCGTTACTAAGCTTTCCCGCACCCCTCCCCACCCCCACGCTGTACCGAACGAGACACCATGAGCCTGATGTAGAACGACACCCTGAAAGACTGGAGGCCTTGCGGGTGAAGCACAAGCCTAAGCGGCTCACCTAAACTACTGAACCTTAACCCTGGACCTAGACCTCAAACCCTAAACCCTGAACTCACGTCTAGGAGGTTAAGGTTTGCAGTATCATGTTGGAGCGAATTGTGCACCTTTGCCGGGTGTGATCATGCTGCTGCGCGGCTTCTAATTCTGTCTACCGTGAGTGGTGCAGGCAGCCTGAGCGTTCTGGCGGATCAGCTGCATTGCTGGTATCGGTACTACTGTTGTTGGTGGCAGTATTCTTGGTGCTGTCGCTGGCACTGGCGATGTGCTGGAGGGTGGCGGTAACGGCGGTGGTGGCGGGAATGGCGGTGAGGGGCGGTGGTGGTAGTGGTGTGGTAGTGGTGGTAGTGGTGGTAGTGGTGGCAGTGGTGGTAGTGGT